CCATATTTTTTATTAAATAAAGTATGATTTATTAAATTTATTATTTCTTCGCAGTAATTATTCTAAAAATAACCCAATTAAAAAGTTTATTTATACTTTAATTCATATAAAGAAAAAATAAAAAAAACTTATCCCACAAAAATTAAAGCCTTTTTAAAATAATGCAATATCTTTAAATTTCATAATTTTTCTATATTAAAATCAAATCGATTAGTCTTAAATTTTTAATTAAATATAACGACACTACACAATTACAGAATTAAATCGATTCTAAATCTATTTTAATTATTTAATACTCAATAACAATCTTACTCTTTAAGCTTTAACATTAATAATTATTTATCATTATAATACTTCTTCTAGTATCTTTTGATTATTCTAAATTGTCTCCAGAAATTCTAATAATGCTTAATTCAATTAATGAAATAATTTATTAACCCTCAATCTAATTTTTTAATAACAATTTACCTTAAAGAGTCATTAAAATTTCTTTCTTTAGAATTTTGAATCTTTATAAGAAAGAGATCTTAAGTGATCTATGTAGATTTGAAAAAGAGCTCTTTGATTTGTTAAATCTTGAGGTGAAAAAAATGTATACTCTTTGATGAATAAAAAAAGTCTTATACAAAATTAGATCCAGATATATTATTCTAATATACTTAAGTTTTTATTAAGAATAATAATAAGAAACATTCTAATGTAAAATAATAAGGAAAAATAAAAATATATAATTATAATGTTCATACTAAATTTTAAGACATGTATTAAAAACATATAGAAATCATTTCGAACAGAATTAAATAGCAATTTCAGCTCCAACTCTTGCATTATTTCTGATTAAAGCAACATTAGATTTGGAACTCATACCATTAGTAATTTCATTAACTCTTTTCAATAAAAATGGAGTAACTAATGCTCCATTAACATTTTAATCATCCAATTCTTTAAGTGCCTATTTAGAATAAATATAATACTTAATTAATAGCCTATTAAACAATAAGACCATCCGCTGCTTGTTCTTGAGGGATAGGTACACAAAAGAGGATTCCATTTTTAAGTTTTAACAAATTGAATTATGCTTTGATTAATTCACTAGCTTCTTGAGGAGAATTGATTGATGTACTACATAATAATCCAGAATCTGGAGTAAAAAAATTAGGAAAATGTTTCGTTTTATATCCTACTACAGGAACTCCTTATGTTTCTAAATATTCTAAAGTTTTAGGAATATCTAAAATAGATTTAGCTCCTGCACAAATTACTGCTACTGGAGTTTAACCTAATTCAACCAAATCTGCAGAAATATCAAATGTATGTTCTGCTCCTCTATGTACTCCACCAATTCCTCCTGTAACAAATACTTTGATTCCAGCCATATGAGCAATCATCATAGTAGCTGCTACAGTTGTACTTCCATATCCCTTTTATGCAATTATTTAAGCAAAATCTCTTCTTGAGCATTTCTAATATTTTTATTTATTTTTTCCAATTTCCTCAATCTCTTCTGGTCTTAAACCAACTCTAATTATTCCTTAAATAATTATTATAGTTGCTGGTATAGCTCCCTTAGATCTAATTTCTTCTTCCACTCCTAAAGCTGTTTATACATTTGTTGGATATTCCATCCCATGTGTTATTATAGTTGACTCTAATGCTACCACTCCTTTTCCATTTTTTATTGCATCTCTTACTTCTTATGAAATCTATAATAAATTATCCATTAATTATTTATGATTTTTATATTTATTGTTATAAACTTAGTTGCTACTTATCAAATTGAGTCAAAATTAAGATCATATTAATAACATAATCATTTAAATATTATATTGGATAACTTTTCATTAAATAAGGAAAAACCTATCAAAGATAAAGTTATTTCTTAAACTATACCATTTATTCTTAGAACATGATTAAACTTAATCTTAATCTATTTTAATATTCTAAAATATTTAATATACATTAAATCTCCTTCTTAGAATATGGATTATATTAGATTAATTTAATTACAATAATAATTAATTCATCTTATTGACAACTTAACACCATTTTGAAAATTTGATTTCCTATAACACATCAGATACTCATTGTTATCTAAATAGATATTGAATATCTATAATATGATATCACAACCACAAATCTTTATTAAAAATGTTTGAATAATGGGTTTTCCAAAATTAAAAGAATATATAAATGCAAAAGATTAGGGATCCTTCGAAATTCATTTAGTTTCTATTTGTAACATGAGAAAGTTAACTCATCATAAAGAACAACTTTTATAGATCAAATTATGGCTGTATGTTCATAAAAATCCCTTATAAAAGGTAGAAAGAAAGCCTTGATTCTATTCATTACATCATCTTTAGAGATGTTAAAATATGATTAATAATATGGAATCTGAATATACATCTTCTTCTTAAAAAAAATCAATTTTATAAAATAAATTTAATGATTAAAGTAAAGAGTTCAGGCATTAAAGAAATTGATGCAGCTAAATATTTTCTTGAAGCGGTCTTATAGTTAAGAGATTGTTTAAATGAATCTAAATAAATAATTATTGATGCATAAGGAGAAGACATCTGTGTAGCAACTTGTGTATTAGAATTATTAAAGAATTAATTTCCTAATAATAAAAATTTAATCAAAACAAGCGGTTCTATCAATGATATCTAGGATTGTAAAGAAAGTGGAATAATAATTAGCTTTCAAGTATTGGATTTTGGTTAAGTAATTTAGAATCCATATACTTATGTTGAGAAATATTTGCATTAATTGATAGACTATGAAAAATCATAAAATAAAAATATCATAGAGAATAATTCAACATTAAAGCAAAATAAATAATAATATCAACAACAACAATAATAATAATAAAAAGAGATATAAATAGAATCTACATAGAAATAAGATTAATAATAAAGACCATAATTTGATATGCATGATAAATAGAGCAACTCAAAAAATAAACAGTAAAACAAAATGCCAATGAATTATATTGGAGATGAAGAACTGATCTCAGATGGATTACATGGATTTGCTTAAGCTTTTGATTCAAAATTTGGGGCAAATGGCAATGAAAAGAAAAATAAAAGTAGAAAAAATAAATAAAAAAAAGTTGACAATGATTTTTAAGATTAAAATTTTATTCGAGGCAACATAAAATATAGAGGAGGATTTAATTATTGATTAATAATTACAAAAATAATAGTTAAAATATTCCTAATGTAATAAATTAATCATTTTTTATAAGATTTACTTTTTAATTTGACCTTAATTACAATAAAATTATTTAGTAGAGATGAGCAAGTATTCTTAAAGTAATTCTTATTTTTTATCTATTTTTCTTTCTTCTTTATACATATTTCATTTAAAACTTATAAATTTTATGTTATCTATTCTTTACTTAATCGTTGATTATGCAGTTAATTATTGATTAGAATCAATTTTATTCGTTTATATTTGGTATTATTCTTAAATATCAAATTAATAATTTTATTAATTTATTTCTCAAGAATAATATATCGAGAATTTTGTTATCAATAATTAATTTACTTTTGATATTCACATATTCAATATGCATCCTATTTCAAAATATATAATTGATATATAATGAATAATTGAATTAAATGATTAGGTTATAAATTTTGGTTGCTAATAAAGGGAATATTTGATGATGGATTTCTTCTTAAAATTTAGAAATGGAAAGGCATTAATAATAACTATAAATAGATTAATTATATAAAATTTATAATTAAANATTCCAGCCATATGAGCAATCATCATAGTAGCTGCTACAGTTGTACTTCCATATCCCTTTTATGCAATTATTTAAGCAAAATCTCTTCTTGAGCATTTCTAATATTTTTATTTATTTTTTCCAATTTCCTCAATCTCTTCTGGTCTTAAACCAACTCTAATTATTCCTTAAATAATTATTATAGTTGCTGGTATAGCTCCCTTAGATCTAATTTCTTCTTCCACTCCTAAAGCTGTTTATACATTTGTTGGATATTCCATCCCATGTGTTATTATAGTTGACTCTAATGCTACCACTCCTTTTCCATTTTTTATTGCATCTCTTACTTCTTATGAAATCTATAATAAATTATCCATTAATTATTTATGATTTTTATATTTATTGTTATAAACTTAGTTGCTACTTATCAAATTGAGTCAAAATTAAGATCATATTAATAACATAATCATTTAAATATTATATTGGATAACTTTTCATTAAATAAGGAAAAACCTATCAAAGATAAAGTTATTTCTTAAACTATACCATTTATTCTTAGAACATGATTAAACTTAATCTTAATCTATTTTAATATTCTAAAATATTTAATATACATTAAATCTCCTTCTTAGAATATGGATTATATTAGATTAATTTAATTACAATAATAATTAATTCATCTTATTGACAACTTAACACCATTTTGAAAATTTGATTTCCTATAACACATCAGATACTCATTGTTATCTAAATAGATATTGAATATCTATAATATGATATCACAACCACAAATCTTTATTAAAAATGTTTGAATAATGGGTTTTCCAAAATTAAAAGAATATATAAATGCAAAAGATTAGGGATCCTTCGAAATTCATTTAGTTTCTATTTGTAACATGAGAAAGTTAACTCATCATAAAGAACAACTTTTATAGATCAAATTATGGCTGTATGTTCATAAAAATCCCTTATAAAAGGTAGAAAGAAAGCCTTGATTCTATTCATTACATCATCTTTAGAGATGTTAAAATATGATTAATAATATGGAATCTGAATATACATCTTCTTCTTAAAAAAAATCAATTTTATAAAATAAATTTAATGATTAAAGTAAAGAGTTCAGGCATTAAAGAAATTGATGCAGCTAAATATTTTCTTGAAGCGGTCTTATAGTTAAGAGATTGTTTAAATGAATCTAAATAAATAATTATTGATGCATAAGGAGAAGACATCTGTGTAGCAACTTGTGTATTAGAATTATTAAAGAATTAATTTCCTAATAATAAAAATTTAATCAAAACAAGCGGTTCTATCAATGATATCTAGGATTGTAAAGAAAGTGGAATAATAATTAGCTTTCAAGTATTGGATTTTGGTTAAGTAATTTAGAATCCATATACTTATGTTGAGAAATATTTGCATTAATTGATAGACTATGAAAAATCATAAAATAAAAATATCATAGAGAATAATTCAACATTAAAGCAAAATAAATAATAATATCAACAACAACAATAATAATAATAAAAAGAGATATAAATAGAATCTACATAGAAATAAGATTAATAATAAAGACCATAATTTGATATGCATGATAAATAGAGCAACTCAAAAAATAAACAGTAAAACAAAATGCCAATGAATTATATTGGAGATGAAGAACTGATCTCAGATGGATTACATGGATTTGCTTAAGCTTTTGATTCAAAATTTGGGGCAAATGGCAATGAAAAGAAAAATAAAAGTAGAAAAAATAAATAAAAAAAAGTTGACAATGATTTTTAAGATTAAAATTTTATTCGAGGCAACATAAAATATAGAGGAGGATTTAATTATTGATTAATAATTACAAAAATAATAGTTAAAATATTCCTAATGTAATAAATTAATCATTTTTTATAAGATTTACTTTTTAATTTGACCTTAATTACAATAAAATTATTTAGTAGAGATGAGCAAGTATTCTTAAAGTAATTCTTATTTTTTATCTATTTTTCTTTCTTCTTTATACATATTTCATTTAAAACTTATAAATTTTATGTTATCTATTCTTTACTTAATCGTTGATTATGCAGTTAATTATTGATTAGAATCAATTTTATTCGTTTATATTTGGTATTATTCTTAAATATCAAATTAATAATTTTATTAATTTATTTCTCAAGAATAATATATCGAGAATTTTGTTATCAATAATTAATTTACTTTTGATATTCACATATTCAATATGCATCCTATTTCAAAATATATAATTGATATATAATGAATAATTGAATTAAATGATTAGGTTATAAATTTTGGTTGCTAATAAAGGGAATATTTGATGATGGATTTCTTCTTAAAATTTAGAAATGGAAAGGCATTAATAATAACTATAAATAGATTAATTATATAAAATTTATAATTAAATTAAAAAGCATAATTAGAAAATATAAATACTTTTATAATTGATTTCAGTTTTTTAGAACAAATTATTATCTCAACTTCCAAAAATTGTACGTCATAATATAATAATATTAAAAATACACTTATGATAAACAGCAAAATAAAGATCTTCAATGATGACTCCCTTCTATTTAGTAGTTATCAATACTATACGATTCCATTTTTGTATACAATGGCTATGATATTGATTTCATACTTCGAAAATGCTTGGATAGCAATTTGGATAGTTTATACCTTAATTCCTTTTTTGGATGAATTCTTTTCATTAGATCTTCGTAATCCAACAAAGGATGAATAGATGTAAATAAAATATAAGATTAAATTTAGGAAATTAGAGTAAGAGATGAAATTTAAGCTTCCATTATATTCAAGTGTCATCTTTGATTGGATAAGTTTAGTTTGGATGATAAATTTCCTTTTAAACAATGAGATATAGATATTAAATAAGTTAGGTATAATATTTTTATGTGGGAATTTGGCAGCCTCAAACATCAATATAGCTCATGAGTTGTTTCATAAGGATAATTTTCTAGATAAATTTCTAGGAACTTTAACCTTAGCTAGAAATCTATATATCCATTTTGCTATAGAACATATTCATGGACATCATAGACATGTTGCTACTCCTAAAGATCCAGCATCTTCATTAAAAGGACAAAAGATATGGAATTTCTTACCTTAAACTATAAAAGGCTCATATCTATCAGCTTGGAATTATGAAGCAGATCTAGTATCAAAGAAATATGGATCAGTCATTAGAATATAAAATAGAATGATATGGTAATTAATTTAATTATATTCTAGGTATACTTTTTCATATTTTATTATTCCTTGTATATTTTATTATTACTTTGGCATTATGGGATGTGTTTATTTCTTAGGAACTGTGATCAATAGTGTTGTTTATTTAGAAACTATTAATTATATCGAACATTATGGTTTAAGTAGAAAAGAGATAGAACCTGGAAAATATGAAAAAGTTGATATTCGTCATAGCTGGAATGCTCCACATAGATTATCTAATTACTTACTCTTTAAATTATAAAGACATTCAGATCATCATGAAAATCCTTATAAATCATATTAGACTTTATGTTCATATGAAGAGAGTCCTTAATTACCACATGGATATACAGTTTGTATACTTTTGGCATGGGTTCCTAAATTGTGGTTTGAAATTATGGATTTATAATTAAAGAATTGGGAACATCATAAAAAGAATGTTACTTCCTAATAAGTACATGAAAAGATGCTTAATTTCATATTCAAAATAGGAATCATTACAACCATGTTGGCAACTGCATCAATTGCATTATGAATTATTTTTATAAATATATTCTTAATTACAAATAAATTCTACATCTACTACATCTCTTAAAACACAAAAATATAAGCTTTAATACTTGATTTGAATTCTTAATTCATATTAATGAAACTTAAAGGATCAAAATATAATATTATTTCATATGTGAATATTCTTCTTGTTCATTGAATTAGGTCATAGAAGAAAACAACTACTCAAACCAAATCTATTCATATTAACTTAATTTTTACTTTTCTATAAATGTAATCTGATACAAAATATATTTATATTAAAATCAGGATAATAACCAGGATGTATTTTCATATTCTAATAATAAGAATCCTTTCTTTTCTAATATTGTTAGGCTAGATCATTTATATTTCAAACAAAGATCCATACATTTATAACATGAAGGTAATTACAAAAAAAGAGTTAAATTTTTCTCGAAATATCAGGTTGTTGAAGAGTCATATAATTTAATTTAATCAATCAATCCTGATATTGAATTTTATTTGATCAAAATCAAAAATTTATTTTGAAATCAGACTCATATGTTTAACAATTTATAAATAAACACAAATTGTAAAATTCAATAGATTAGAATAAATCTTCTAGAATTTTGATAGAATTTTTTTATTTAAATCTTAAAACTATTGATTAAATACTTAGACCTTTGCTTTTATTTTAACTTTGAGTATTCAAAAAATTCAATTAGTTATTGATTACTTCAAGGAAATTTTCCATCCCAGATTATTGACATGCCTTTTTTTTATTGTAACTCTCATAACAAAATTAAAAAAAGACATACTATTAAGAAAAACTATTGATATAACTAAATTCAAATAAGAAACAGAATATGAAGATGATACTTGAATTATCAATTCATTTAATGTTTTAGCCCTAAATAATACACAATTCTTATAGAATGTGGATAAAAATCAATAAAAAATTCAAAATTAAGATCAGATTTTCTTTTGGTAAAATTACTAAAGACAAAGATAAAATACGTTAAGTTTAAAAGTTTTAGTTCATTAATTTGATCAGATTTTCTGACTTAAATATAAATATGAATTTATTTAAAAATAAAAATATTTATTTTTATTGAATTTGATTATTCCTTGAGATAGCAATACTGAGGAGACTTTGTAGAAGACAAAGAAATCGTCGAAATTCTATTGATTACAATATATCTAATAAAATTTTGGAAATATATTTGAATAATTAATGTATTATTTATATAGAATAAAATATTTTAATTTATTAAATTTGACTCAAACAAGAATTTACAAGATGGAAGGAAATAATTGATAATTAGAATTAAGAGAAAGTGAAACCATAGAATTTATGATTAGAAATTTTATGTAAAAATTTCTTAAATAAGGAGATACAGTATTAAATATCTAATTCATCTCAAAAGATGTAGTCCCCTCTTAATACAAATGACAGCATTGGATAAAACAATTTTTATCAAATGGCTGATTATGCATAAAGTTCAAATGAAGCAAGCTGCTTAGATATATTAGGTAGCTAGGCTGGAATTTTTATTTAATAGAGATTCGAATTTTTTAAGTCATGATAGGTAAATTAGTTAGCCCTATAATAAGGGTTTTAGACTCCAAATGTTTTTAAGGTGTTTGCAGCAAATGATTAAGGCGATTAAATAGAGCAAAAAGAGTTATTCAAATATAAAGAAAAATCATCAACCTGTGCAAGGTTGACATTAAGGTATTTTTTCATTTAAATTTAGTCCAAATTTTCGACCATTTGAAATGTTTGTTAGTAATTATGGATGCAAAGACTTTTAACCTAATTCAGATTAATTGTTCTAAGAGAACTCTGATCGTATCATTTGGAAATATGATCGAAAATACACATGCACCTGTTTTTGTTTGAATAGGTATTAATGGTTTATTCATTTATCAATTTAGACTACGTTTAGATGTTTAATATGTTGAAAATGGATAAAATAAAAATTTAGGTTATATTGTTAATCCTTTCTATTGTTGTCGACTTGGTTGTCATATTTATGATTTTGAGGATAAATTGAAATATATAATAGAGGCTAGTATTTGCTAATGTTATTTTTGGTGCAGATGTCCTTGTGGTGATTAATGTAATCATGTAGAATTTGATATTAAATCTCCTAATGGAGAAGTATATATATATATTAAATGCTTTATTTAAGGTTGTTGCTCCTATGAAAAAAAAAGTTAGAGGCTGTTGTCAAAATTGGGCTGATTTTGTTGATAATATAAGTGTTGTATTCCCTTAAAATGCATCAAAAGAAGACAAAGCATTAATTCTAGCAGCCGCCATCATGTTTAAGTACATGTACTTTGAAAACAAGGATGGTCCTTAGCCTTCTAATTGAATTCAAAGATAATTATATTCATAATTATTAAATTTCTAAAAATAGGTTTAATTAATGATAATATTGTTTTATTCCAGAAATCTTGCTTAATTAGTAAAATTACAATCTCACTATAAATAGATTGAACCTCCTTATTTTAATAAAATTTAATTTTAAAGATAAATCTCTATTTAAATTAATTATCTTATTTAAATTCAATGTAAATACAACAATTAAAAGAACAAATCATTTTTTATAGATAAAAAGACATTCTATTTAAGAAATTTAATAGCTGCTTATAAAATTTTTAAAGCAAATCAATA